CAGGAACATAACTGTTAAATGTCCTTTGGTGCATGTGCTTTTGTTTCTTTTGAGTATATACTGAGGAGTGGTATAGCTGGGTGTTAAGATGTGCATGTATCCAGTAGCTTCTCCCAGGCATTTTTCCAAAGTGCTCACGCCAATTTAAACTCCCGTCCACAGTGGGCGGTCCAGAAGTTCCATGTCCTCATCAGTGCTTGGCATTCTTAGTTTTTTCATTTTAGTCATTCTCCTTCATAGGGTCTAGTGGCGTCTCATTGTGATTTAAATTTGCATTCCTCTGATAACTATGTTATTAAAAATAGTATTCTTTTGTTGTTGGTTTACTATTTTCTAATTGCTTGTTGCTAATATATGAAGCAAATTAAATTTTTACATTAACCCTATATTCACGAGTTTTGATAAATTTACTTAATAATTCTAATACCCTATAGGGTTGTGTTTTTTTCCAACATCTATAACCATGTCATCTCAATATAATACCTTTTCTAAAGTCTTTGTTAATGCTTAATTGAACAGTTTAGGACTGCTATTTAGATGTTAACTAGAAGTGGTAATAAGGGTATCCTCTTCTTATTCCTAGTCTTAGTGGGAAAGTATTAAATATTTTTACCTTATATTCCTAGTTTTTAACATAAATGGATGTTGAATATTTTCACGTGTTTTATGTTTTATATTGAATATATTGAGAAGAGTATGTGATTTTTCTCCTTTATTTTGTTAGTGTGGTGAATTACATTGATCTTTCGCATGTTAAATCAAGATTGCATTCTTGAAATAAACCTAATTTGTTGATGGTGTATTAACTCTTTTGTATGTTGCTAGACTTGGTTTCTTAATATTTTGTTTAGGATGTTTTGTTGTTATGTTGAGAAACTGGCCTGTAACTTTCCTTCCATGTAATACTTGTCCGTTTCTGGTCCTTCTTCAAGCTTATGCACTAGTATTCTGGACGGGCCCTTTGCCCCATACAGTGCTTAAAAAATTGAAAGTACTTACGTAGCAGGGAAACAACCAATCTTGTGTTTCCAAAACAAAAAACAAAAAACAAAACAAAAGAAGAAGAATCAGAAAGCGCTTCCCTCTTTAAATGGCCCTTATTCTGCCCAGGTAAATCATCCTGGTAATAGTGTATACTGGAAGCAGGCTGGTAATAGATGGCCACATCTCCCAGGTATGGCTTCTGTATTCAGGAGATTCAGGGCTTCCTGATGCCTCTCGCCGTGGTCCTCCACAGGAGTATCCCCAATTGGCTAACAGCATTCAGTTGGCAAAGTTTGCTCAAAAATCCATTGATTATACCTTCCAGAGGCTAAGAATTTAAAAGCCTGTTGTGTTTGGGCCATGTTATTAAGTATCATCATCCTAGTAAATAAGTGTGTTACATGCTTGGAAAAAAATCTTGAGGTGGTTTATCCTATTAGGATTCCTGCATCTTTGAGGATGAGGTATTTTAGAGAATTACTCTGGGAGAACCTTGAGATCCTTGCTTGCTAGGGACTCTGCTTCAAGCCAATGCTTATGGTAGAGGCTGCTTCTTCCACTAACACTATAGCCATGTTTGTTGCCAGCTATTGTGAAGGCAAATCAAAGAGGGGAAATATGGGAGAAACACATTACTTAAAATTTTAGAAGGAAATTAAAAACAAGGTAAGAGAGCAAAGAAACAGTAATTTTTATAGAAGTTAAATATAAGGGGGAACATCCCATTAAAAAAAAAAAACCCAGAAGCCAAATAAATAAATGGCAATAAAATATTAAGATGAGAAATTTGGGACTTCCCTGGTGGCGCAGTGGTTAAGAATCCGCTTGCCAATGCAGGGGACACGGGTTCAAGCCCTGGTCCGGGAAGATCCCACATGCCGCGGAGCAACTAAGCCCGCGAGCCACAACTACTGAGCCCACGTGCCTAGAGCCCGTGCTCTGCAACAAAGAGGAGCCACCGCAATGAGAAGCCCGCGCACCGCAAAGAAGAGTAGCCCCTGCTCGCTGCAACTAGAGAAAGCCTGCGCGCAGCAACCAAGACCCAGCGCAGCCAAAAATAAGTAAATAAATAAATTTATTTATTTAGGGGAAAAAAAAGATGAGAAATTTGACTTGTGAATGTTTAGAGATATTAAGACCATGAGTTAAAAGCTGGGGGAAAAAAAATAAAAAGATAAAGGAGAAAACATTCAGGAGACATTGTGAAATAAGGACGTCTGGAAATTCTCTCCGTAAAAGCAATGACAAAATTGACAAAACTTGTCAGAATCAACTTTTTCAAAACTGAAAATTAATCAAAGACAGCAGCAATCCAAGGAGCATTTCTTCAAGAAAAATATCTGAATTTTAGTTAGAACAGTGAGCTTTGTGGTGATTTGACTTCCCCTGTTCCCATCCCCCTCTCTCTAGCCCGTCAATGGCCTTGGGAGCCAGTAGTGTGCTGTCTTGATGAGGACCAGCAGCCTGGCAGCCCGCAGAAAAGGCAGAACGGAGTTGGAGCGCCTTCACAGCCTCATTCCCAGAGAATTATTATTTGATCTGTCTGGTGGTTTCCTGGAGGACTCCCACTTGCAAGACTGTCTACCTGACTTGGAGCTCACCCAGTGCGAAAAGCCTCTTTTTCCCCTGAGGTGTTTGTTTAAAACAATTAGAGACAATTGATTAACTTCATAGCCATGTGAGGTAGATAACAGTTGGGGCAAACAATATGTTAAGCAAAAAGCTTAAAGGAAAAGCTGGAAAATAAGATTTCCATCGGGGCTTTGACCAGCTCTGATGTATTACTGTGGCTCTGGAAGGTCACACGCATGCTTAGGGCTCTGTGTGTGCTCAGGAGGGACCTGAGAGGGTCCTAAACTCTCACCTTGAGCTGACTATGAGGCTCCATGCAAGCTGAAAGAAGAGGCTAAGGCGGAGTTGTCCCCCAAGTGCTGAATGCATGCCCCAACACACAGAGTCCCTGGGCAAAGACTGATTGTGACAAGGGCTTCTGTGTTATATTGGTTCCAGGCGATTAGGGAAAGTTCTATCTAATCATTAGCTGACCACTAAGCTCATGTAGCAGACACGTCAGTGGTCTCACACAACAAAGAATGTATATTTACAGGAGCTCAGAAAGTCACTTAACAAACAGCAGCAGACACCAACATGAACAGACGCTGAGGAAGGAGGAAAATCTAATTCCCATAGTTGCCACAGTATATTGGTAAAAATGTCCAGTTTTCAACAAAATATTAGACATAAAGAAACAAGAAACTGTGGCCTATACACACCGGGGCGGGGGAGAAGCAACCAATGAAATCAGCTGTTTTGACTCTGATCAAAGGACTAAAGGGATGTATGAGAACAGTGTCTCACCAAATAGAGGATACCAATAAAGAAATAGAATTTATTTATTTATTTATTTATTTATTTTGCGGTACGCGGGCCTCTCACTGCTGCAGCCTCTCCCGCTGCGGAGCACAGGCTCCGGACGCGCAGGCTCAGCGGCCATGGCTCACGGGCCCAGCCGCTCTGCGGCACGTGGGATCTTCCCGGACCGGGGCACGAACCCACGTCCGCTGCATCGGCAGGCGACTCTCAACCACTGCGCCACCAGGGAAGCCCAGAAATTATTTTTTAAAAATAGAAATTCTGGAGTTGAAAAACAAAATAGCTGAAATGAAAATTTCACTAAGAGGCTCAACAACAGATTTGAGCAGGTGTAAGGAAGACTCAATATTGAGATTACAGTTATCCCTCAGAATCCATGGGCGTTGGTTCCAGGACCCTGCCCCCCACTGCTGCAGGTACCAAAATCCATAGATACTCAAGTCCCATATATAAAATGGTGTAATATTTGCATTTAACCTATGCACATCTTCCCATATACTTTATTTATTTTAATTTTATTTATTTATTTATTTTTGGCTGCATTGGGTCTTTGTTGCTGCGCGCAGGCTTTCTCTGGTTGCGGTGAGCGGGGGCTACTCTTCGTTGCGGTGCTTCTCATTACAGTGGCTTCTCTTCTTGTGGAGCACGGGCTCTAGGCGTGCAGGCTTCAGTAGTTGTGGCACACAGGCTCAGTAGTTGAGGCTCGTGGGCTTTAGAGTGCAGGTTCAGTAGTTGTGGCACATGGGTTTAGTTGCTCCATGGCATGTGGGAGCTTCCCAGACCAGGGCTCAAACCTGTGTCCCCTGCATTGGCGGGCAGATTCTTAACCACTGCGCCACCAGGGAATCCCTCCCATATACTTCAAATCATCTCTCATTATTCTCTACATCATTTTCTAGTTTATAAGTGCCTTCCCATGCGTTTTCATTTAATCCTCCAAATAGCCTTCTACTCCACTGACAAACCTGGGAAATCAGGCAGGGCCTGACCCCTGCCACTCCCCATCCCCTGCTTTACCCCTGTGGCCCTCATGGACCCTCTTCAGTGTCCTGCCCTCTGTCAGTGTCTCAAGGAGCGCTGCTGAGGCTCCGGTGTCAGGGGCCCACAGCACCAGGCTGTGCTGCAGAATCCAGAAAACGTCAACTTTCGTCTTCCCACCTGCTTGTGCGGCAGCCACCCCTTTCCCCAGTGCTCTGCCCGAAGTGAAATGATGCGTGTGGCTCATCTCTCTTGGGAGGGGATTTTGTTTTCTTGGTTCCCTTACAACCTCAGCTGTCTGACAGGATCAAGATAAGTTATGATTTTGTTCGACTCTCTGGCTTCATCTTGTTGTTAGGATGGAAGCACATTTTCTACAGCTTTCTGCTTCTGAAGCTGCTCGATTCTGATTCAGAAGAAAGGAGTTCAATTCCTAACTCTGTCACTTATGATCTGTGATCTTTGCTAAGTCAACTGTTTTCTCAGTTGTGCAGTGGAAATAATAAAAGTCATAATAATTATCATAGCAGACTTGTCAGTGGAGTAGAAGGCTATTTGGAGGATCACATAAAAACACACGCGAAGGGGCTTGTAAACTAGAAACTGCTGTGGAATAATAGTGATCATCATTCTCTAAGCTGCCATTTTGTCTTTTCCATTTTCAGATATGATCTTCAAGACGCAGAAATAAATTCCAGACAGAATCGTCGCATGAGGTCAGCTGAAAGTGCTGAGCTCGAGCCAAGAAATAAGCGGAACAGGAATTAGTGTGGGTTTGTTGACTTTCCCAGTGCAGTCATCAGAAGATGGTACTTTTGTTGCCATGGTGATTTCATATTCATAAATGCCCAGTGAAGATGTTACATTCTAAATATTATGTTTAACTGATTTTTATTCTTTTCTGCCTTTCCAGGAAAAAAAAAAAAAACTTAAGAAAGCATCCTCACTTGGTCAGTTACCTCCTGCCCCTAAAACATCTCTCTCTAAAAATACTGGCATCCACACATTCACCAGCTTTGCAGAGGACAGAGACTTTTTGGCAAAAGGGTTTTGTTTGATTTTGTTTCTAAATTTCAGACTGTCCTTAAGCCATTCTCCTCTTCCATGGAGAAGCCAACTTCAGAAAAGGATCCTTTATCCCCTCTACCACAAGGAGCGGTTGAGGCATTCAGAGCCACTGTGTTTCTGGAAAGGTAGAATGTCCTAACTCAAGTCCTCCGTGAGTGTGAGCACGCGAGGCCTGGAGGCCGGTGCGCGTGTTACAGCTGTTTCAGGATGGTTGTTGCCCGAGTTTCATGTGGTTGTTGGTTAGACCTGTGTCTTACACTTTACTTGGAGTAGGATGTTAGTACTGTAGCCTAAAGGCACAAAACAGTAACTTTGAAACATTAGGCATATTCTCCAGAAATGGCCCTTACAAATGATTCCTTCATCTTTTTTTTCACTTGGGTAAATCAAATCTTTAACACTTTGAATCCCAGCTATTAAATGGAAAGAATGCAATAAGTGAATTTTGTCACTGAATAGACTCTATATCAATTTAAAATAAAGTCCTTGAAACAGTCTCCTGTGAATGGTTGAGTACAAGCTACAAATCATTGGAAAGGTTTGATCAGAAATTGTTCTCTCGGGGGGCTTCCCTGGTGGCGCAGTGGTTGAGAATCCGCCTGCCAATGCAGGGGACATGGGTTCGAGCCCTGGTCTGGAAGGATCCCACATGCCGTGGAGCAGCTAGGCCCGTGAGCCACAGCTACTGAGCCTGCGCATCTGGAGCCTGTGCTCCGCAACAAGAGAGGCCGCGACAGTGAGAGGCCCGCGCACCGCGATGAAGAGTGGCCCCCGCTTGCCACAACTAGAGAAAGCCCTCGCACAGAAATGAAGACCCAACACAGCAAAAATAAATAAATTAATTAATAAACTCCTACCCCCAACATCTTCTTTAAAAAAAAAAAGAAATTGTTCTCTCAAACAGAAATATAGATCGATAGAACAGGATAGAAAGCCCAGAGGTAAACCCATAGGTACATGTAAAAGTATGAGATTAGATCACTCCCTAACACCATACACAAAAATAAGCTCAAAATGGATTAAAGACCTAAATGTAAGGCCAGAAACTATCAAACTCTTAGAGGAAAACATAGGCAGAACACTCTATGACATAAATCACAGCAAGATCCTTCTTGACCCATCTCCTAGAGTAATGGAGATAAAAACAAAAATAAACAAATGGGACCTAATGAAACTTCAAAGCTTTTGCACAGCAAAGGAAACCATAAACAAGACCGACCAAAAGGCAACCCTCAGAATGGGAGAAAATATTTGCAAATGAAACAACTGACAAAGGATTGTTCTCCAAAATATGCAAGCAGCTCATGCAGCTCAATAACAAAAAAACAACCCAATCCAAAAATGGGCAGAAGACCTAAATAGACATTTCTCCAAAGAAGATATACAGACTGCCAACAAACACATGAAAAAATGCTCAACATCATTAATCATTAGAGAAATGCAAATCAAAACTACAATGAGATATCATCTCACACCGGTCAGAATGGCCATCATCAAAAAATCTAGAAACAATAAATGCTGGAGAGGGTGTGGAGAAAAGGGAACACTCTTGCACTGCTGGTGGGAATGTGAATTGGTACAGCCGCTATGGAGAACAGTATGGAGGTCCCTTAAAAAACTACAAATAAGACTACCATATGACCCAGCAATCCCCACTACTGGGCATATACCCTGAGAAAACCATAATTCAGAGTCATGTACCAAAATGTTCATTGCAGCTCTATTTACAGTAGCCAGGGGATGGAGACAACCTAAGTGTCCATCATTGGATGAATGGATGAAGAAGATGTGGCACATATATACAATGGAATATTACTCAGCCATAAAAAGAAACGAAATTGAGCTATTTGTAATGAGGTGGATGGACCTAGAGTCTGTCATACAGTGTGAAGTAAGTCAGAAGGAGAAAGACAAATACCGTATGCTAACACATATATATGGAATTTAAGAAAAAAAAAAGTCATGAAGAACCTAGGGGTAAGGAAGGGAATAAAGACACAGACGTACTAGCGAATGGACTTGAGGATATGGCGAGGGGGAAGGGTAATCTGTGACAAAGAGAGAGAGAGGCGTGGTCATACATATATACACTACCAAACGTAAAATAGCTAGTGGGAAGCAGCCGCATAGCACAGGGAGATCAGCTCGGTGCTTTGTGACCACCTAGAGGGGTGGGATAGGGAGGGTGGGAGGGAGGGAGACGCAAGAGGGAAGAGATATGGGGACATTTGTATGTGTATAACTGATTCACTTTGTTATAAAGCAGAAACTAATACACCATTGTAAAGCAGTTATACTCCAATAAAGATGTAAAAAATAAAAATAAAAAAAACAAAGCAGAAACTAACACACCATTGTAAAGCAATTATACTCCAATAAAGATGTAAAAAAAAAAAAAAATTGTTCTCTCTGTGCAAAATGTCCCCCAGTTCCCAGTTCCTTCCAGTGTTCCTAATGCCTGTGTTTGGCATTTCAGAGCCAGTCCCCTGCCACCGGTGCCAGCAGCTCTGGGGCTGCCTGTGTCCTGGTGACAGCAGGCCTACTTCACCAGAGTCCAGGAAGACCCTGGTGTTGGTTTGGGGGTGGAGGGCCTGATCCTGCCCTGGGCCAAGTGTCCCAGCACCTCAGGGTAGCCATCCCTGCTCCGTCTGAGCTCCTGGAAGGGAGAGGTGGCTGGAACCCTGCTGTTTAAAACAGCACCTAGAATTGGGAAGGAGTACCCGGGCAGGTGCTCTCCCATTGGCTCCCAGATGGCCTGGCATTCCTCGATTTCTTCTTTGCTTACTGAAGAGGCAAGGCTTTTGCCTGGAAAGGATTCTGGGCAGCCATGCAGGTAAGTGGGGCAGCCTGTTCCAGCTTCAAGAAGCTGTTAGAATGCCACCCCTTCTCTCGTGTGCCACCTTTGCAACTCTTGCAGGCGCCATGGGCTCCCCTTTCTGGTCCCAGCATGTTGGAGGCAACACCCCACCCCCGCCTCCATCCCGTGATGCCCCACTCCCACCCTCTCCCAGTCAGCCATGGGGCAGACGTGCTCCGCTGTGTTCGGCTGGGTGGAAGCAGGCGTCCTTCCCTGTAATCTTGGCTTGGCAGACAGCACGGCTCACCCTCCAGACTACTGACCTGTGGGAAAGAAGAGGTGTGCAATTGCCTTGCCCACCCTCTGAGAATCCTGCTTTGTGGCTGAACTGAAGTGGCTCCTGCTCTGTGAGGGCCTGCCAGCAAGTTCCTTGGAGGCACTGTGCTGAGGATGATCTGAAGCTGCCACCTACCTTCCTGAGGGCTCAGGTGGTGAGTTACTAACTAATATCTAGGCTTCTGAGACTTGTAATGGAGGGAACAGGAGGGATGGAGAGGTTGAAAGGGGAGGAAACATCAACTGGGTCTCATCCATGGCTTCGTGTAGATTCTTGTAGGACTCAGAACAAATTCCTGGGAATCCTACCCCTTGGAGACCACACCAACTTTGCTTGCTTGTTTCTTTAACAGCTTCATTGAGATATAGTTCACTCAACGTACAATGCACCCATTTAAAACTTACAATTATATTTAGAGACCATCACCATAATCAATTTTAGAACACTTTTGTTGCCTATGGTCCCCTTATTCGTCACCCCCAACTCTCCCATCCTTCCCAGCCCTAGGCAACAACTAAGCTACTTTCTGTTTCTATATTTCCTTATTCTGTATGTTTCATATCAGTGAAATCATACAATACATGGTCTTTGGGGTCTGACTTCTTTCACTCAGCCTAAAGTATTCAAGGTCATACATGTAGCATTGATCAGTCCTTCATTTCTTTTTATTGCTGAATAGTATTTCATTGTATGGGATATACCACATTTTGTTTATCCATTCATCAGCTGATGGATATTTGGGTTGTTTCAGCTTATTTTCACTATTGTTAATGGTGTGCCTGTAAGCAGTTGTGTACAAGTTTTTTGTGTGAACATGTTTTTATTTGTCTTGGGTATGTACCTACGAATGGCATTTCTGAATCATATGGTAACTCTGTGCTTAATATTTTATATTTAACTGCCAAACTCTTCCAAAGTGGCTGCACAATTTTGCCCACTAGGACTCTATTAGTCTTCCAGTTTCTCCATGTCCTTGCCAACACTTGTGATTATCTGTCTTTCTTATTATGGCCATGCTAGTGGGTGTGAAGTGGTATCTCATTGTGGTTTTGATTTGCATTTTCTCAATAGCTAATGATGTTGAGCATCTTTGCATGTGCTTTTTGGCCATTTCTATGTCTTCTCTGGAAAAATGTCTATTCATATTTTTTGCCCATTTTAAAATTGGGTTTTTTAAAAATTATTGCATTGTAAGAGTTAATTGTATAGTTTTTAAAATTTCAGCTTCTGATTGTATATTGATAGGTTAGAGAGATAGAAATAATTTTTGCGTATTAATCGTGTATTGAGCAATCTTGCTAAACTCATAAGTTTGGTAGCTTTTTTGTAGATTCCATTCGATTTTCTCTAATAGAGAATCATGTAAACGTGTAATGGTGTAAAGACTTTTGTATTTCTTCCTTTCCAATATGGATGTCTTTTATTCTGGACATAAATTCTCTACCAGATAAATGCTTTGAATCACGTTGGGATTATTTTCTTCTACTCCTAGTTTGCTGAGAATTTTTAAAAAATCAGAAATGGTTATTGAATATTGTCAAATGCTTTTTCTGTATTTATTGAGATGATCATATGGTTTTTCTTTTTTAGTTTATTAATATTGTGAGTTACACAGTTTGGTTTTTTTATTTTTTTAAATTTATTTATTTATTTATTACTTACTTTGACTGCGTTGGGTCTTCATTGCTGCGTGCAGGCTTTTTCTAGTTGCGGCAAGCTGGGGCTACTCTTCGTTGCAGTGCACGGGCTTCTCATTGTGGTGGCTTCTCTTGTTGCAGAGCACGGGCTCTAGGTGCAGGGGCTTCAGTAGTTGTGGCATGGGGGCTCAGTAGTTGTGGCTCGCAGGCTCTAGAGTGCAGTCTCAGTAGTTGTGGCACATGGGCTTAGTTGCTCCACGGCATGTGGTATCTTCCTGGCCCGGGATCGAACCCATGTCCCCTGCATTGGCGGCCGGATTCTTAACCACTGTGCCACGGGGAAGTCCCACAGATTGATTTTTAAATGTTAAAACAAAAGTGGGAGGGACCCCACTTGGTTATGATGTGTCATCTTTTTACATATTGTTGGATTTAATTTACCAAAATTTTGTTTAGAATTTTTTGCATCTATATTTAGGAGGGATATTGGTCTGTAGTTTTCATTTCTTTTTATGTCTTTATCTGGTTTTGGTATTAGGATAATGCTGGCCTCATGGAATGAGCTGGGAAGTATTTTCTCCTTCAGTTTTCTGGAAAAGTTTGTGTAGAACTGGTATTATTTACTCCTAAGGTGTTTAGCAGAATTCACCAGTGAAGCAATATGAGCCTGGAATTTTCTTTGTGGATAGGTTTTTAACAATATGTTTTCATTTCTTAACGTATG